ATTACCTTAATACACAGTTTGACTACCTGTTTTCTGAAAGTATAGGATATTCACCAACTTCAATTCACAGAAATTTAGAGCTGTCTTCTGAGCAAAGATCTTCAGCAAACATAGCTGCTTGACCTGAACATCCCACCTGGTCAAGCAAAGTCAGCAAATACACATTTTAATATGCCACATATGAAAATGGATAAAAAAAATTCATAATACATATAAATGGCTCCTAACTTGCCAAATCAGGACAACTTTTTCCAGAATCAACTGTCACATAAACATGGTCTCATACATGGCCTCATGACTATATTGTAAAGAATCTGCTTTTAATTCATGTCTGCTCTTGATCCAGATTAATTTTCATCTGTGAAAAATCCAATAATTTAAAGCCTACTTCTTGTCTCCGAATTAACAAATTCTTCATGTGCCTTAATAATGTGTATATTACTACCGTACAAGAAGTAGAAGCTTGATGTCCTTCTTCATTTTGCACACAGAAGGGACAATGATAATCTGACTTGGTATTTTGACTTCAGTTGTTTTCAAACAGACCAATTGATTTACAATCAATGCAGTAGCAAACACATGAAGATTTATTTAAAACATCTCCTAGTAATCTGATCTGTATTGCCATTGCTACAGTTACACGGCAGCAATTTGAGAYCCATGACTGGAGCGGTGTTTCATAAAAGATTCCTGTTCTCAGTGCTGGCATTATTAACAAAATGTTTTTTCTTATGCATCTCAACCCAAAGGTGATTTTCTTTGTTGCTGCTTTGTAAGCGTAGCAAAATAGATAAAAATTATTTTCTTTGAGTCCTTATTCTGTGAAAAGGTGGTGAATCTGTTTCATTTTGCCACTAGTTTCAGGAGTAGTTTTGTCATTAGCAATGAAACATTTGGTCTTTTATAACCTCAGTTCTAATTTAAAAAGCCAACTTGTTAAAGGAAATTGAATTAAAAAATAGATATTTTAGTCTTAAAACCTATGTAATAACCCATGCATTGATTCTGTGTCGTATCTCCTAATAACCTTCTGTTATCTACAGAAGAAGCTGTAATGTGGCCTTCTGGAGACGGAAAATAAACTAAATTTTGCTAGTACTACTAGCCATAGAGCTGTTTCAACTTGTTTTTATTGATATCATTAGAAGAAACGTGAATATTCATGCTTGACATGAAAACAAAATGTTTTTGGTGAAAAGAGCAGTCCTGCCTCCCTGCCTCCCTTCCTTCCTGCCTTCCTGTCTCCCTCCCATCTTCCTTCCCGCCTTCCTTCCTTCCTTCCTTCCTTCCTTCCTTCCTTCC